TCTGGCCAGGACGGGCCCCCCAAGTACGGATTCGCAACTGCGAGAGAAAAACGACTTATACCTAGCGCAGGCTAATGTTCCCCGGCTCTCACAGGAGGAGGCAGACTCTTTGGAGTCCCCGATCTCCCCAGAGGAAGATGGTGCTAGCTCAGATGAAGCCAGGTAAAGCCCCGGGTCTTTTCCTCACACGCCCTTCTGAGGAAGCCCCCGATGTGGGGAGGAAACGCGTCAAGGGTTACGTGTGGAAAGCTTCCCTGGATTCTCTGGACATATGAGATACTCACATTTGTTTGCTCATCCCCTATACAAGTCCAGCTAGGAACGAACATCCTGCCTACTACCTGCCGGCTTGTGAAATAGAGGTGACGGAGCACAACTGACTGTGATATGGTTTCGATTGGATGGCTACTAAAATCATTTATTTGCTTTGAAAGTTAGCGGGTGGCTTCCCGCGCCTTACGGGTAATTCCCGGCTCCAATCTTGCCAGGCGCATCTTACCGTGGAGTGTCAAGTAGTCCTTTTCTCTTTCTGCACAGTGCGGCCGCACACGAAAGATCAAAAATCTTTGAAGAAACTTCCATTTCATTCACTGAAACCCACGGAGCATCTTGTGCCTTTGGAAAGTGCTGGGAGAGGGGCATCCGCAGCTCCTGCTTTTACTGAGGAGCTACATTCTTTGGCAGTAATATCGTCTTATACTGGACACCTCTCCCGAAGTCTTTCTTCCATCGTTACACACAGGACTCTAGCAGGTTCATTTTCCCTCGAGCTCTTTGAACTGCAACATATGTGAGTACATTCTCAGATACATTGTTTCTCTTGAAAAGTACTTCAATCATCCAGAAACCTGCATAGATGGCCCTTTACCACACAGGTGGTTTGCAGGCAACTATTGTTATATTTATGCAGGATATATCCAGTGGAATGTTTTAAGTGTTTTTAAATGTCTCTGGTGCATGAGTTTATTGTATATGTCTTTTTCTACTACTAAATATTGTATCAATAATTTTGATTTACCTGTTTTGAACCAATCTTCTTAGAAGGGATTTCTAATTTTTGGGGGAACGTTTTTGTGAATCTTTGAGAATAGCTTCAGGTTTTCTGAATAGCTCCATGTTTAACAGGGAGATGGGTCTATAGCTGGAACATAAGACCGGGTCCTTCCCTTCCTTGTGGATAACCGAAATCGATGCGTGCAGGGAGTCCATCGGAAAGATCTGTCCCGACAGCAAAGAGTTTTAAGCTGATAGAAAAGGGACTGACAGCGTTTCTTGGAAAGTTCTAAAGTAGAGGAGAGAAAAGACCCGGGGCTTTACCTGGCTTCATCTGAGCTAGCACCATCTTCCTCTGGGGAGATCGGGGACTCCAAAGAGTCTGCCTCCTCCTGTGAGAGCCGGGGAACATTAGCCTGCGCTAGGTATAAGTCGTTTTTCTCTCGCAGTTGCGAATCCGTACTTGGGGGGCCCGTCCTGGCCAGATTGTAAAGCTTCTGGTGGAACTCCCGAAAACGATTGGCTATAGTTTTGGAACAGGTCAGCAGCCCTCCATTCCGAGACACCACCTGCGGGATTAAAGAATGTGCTCTCGCCTCCCTGAGTGCCAGTGCCAGGCACCTACTGGGCTTGTTTCCATGTTCGTAGTATAAACTTTTGGTCCTAAGCTGGTTCTTCTTTATCTTCCCTAACAAAAGGTAATGTAAGCGACGGCGCAGAGTCCAGAGCTCTGCTTCCACTTCTATCGCCTGTGCTTGTTTATGTTGCAGTTCCAGTTTCCGGATCTGGTCTAGTAACTCCAAGATAGACTTGGTCCGCTCCTTCTTTATACGAGAAGCCTGGGAGATAAAAACTCCCTGTATGTAACATTTATGTGCCTCCCATACCACTAGGGGAGTGAATTCCGGAAAACAGTTTTGGTGGAACCTATTTTTTTTACAACTTGTTCAATAAATGAACATTTGGTGATTCTTGAAGGATCTTTGGTGTGCTGGTGACATTCATCAAATCTTATGCTTACGGCCGCGCCATCCGCCGTCATTCAAAGCACCGTCCCTTATCATTTGGGATTTCCGGTAAGGAGTGCAACAAGAACCTTAAAAACATTTTGGGACACAAAATAGGCCCAGACATTTTAGACTGAGCAGCCCAATCACGTGACCACAGACAGGCCCCGCCCCTCACAACAGGGGGCAGAGCCAAACACAGAAGCGCAATCGAGGGGCAGGGCCGACCACTAGTAAGTAGAGCGTAGAGCGTTCATAGAGCGTTGAACGCGCAACAAAACGTAAAGGTGTGAACAGGGACTAAAACCTCTGTTTTTAACACATACTGTTGACAGGGTCATTTGTTTTGTTGCTGGCAGGTGAGCTGGGCATTTTTTGTGTTTTGTATTGTTGTAAGCCTTCCCATGTGCGCCCTGCCATAAAGGCTGGTTATAGATTCATGCAGGTACCATGTTTTTCTAGTTTGACTATTTTGGATGTGGGGACGCACTGGGGGTCCTAGCGTGCATTTTTGGTTGCTGGGCCTCCAGTGCGCCCCTGCACCTTATAAGGAGGAGTAGGCTACCTCCTGGTACACCTGCATGCAGTTTATCGACTGCATTAATATGCTCACACTGATGGTTTTCCGGCGGAATGGTACAGATACCATTTGCCTCAGTTAGCCCGCCCCTTTGCAGAGCTTGTATAATTCTTGCCTTCTACAGGGGAGGGTACCGGATTCCTTGTATGAGGCTAACGTTCTCTTACCTAAACCGGGGAAAGATCCAATGCTTTGCTCCTCATACCGCCATATTTCTCTATTGAACATGGATCTTAAAATATTGACCAAGATTCTTGCTATGCGCCTAGCGAGGGTTATTTCCACTATAAGAAATATTGATCAAACTGGATTTATCCCTGGAAAATCTACTGATACGAATCTGTGCAGGGTTTTCACCAATCTCCAGCTCTCCAATGATAATGCTGGTTCAAGGGCATTGGTCTTTCTTGATGTTGAGAAGGCCGTTGACTCGGTGGACTGGGGATACATGGGGGCAGTCTTGAAAGAACCTTAAAAACATTTTGGGACACAAAATAGGCCCAGACATTTTAGACTGAGCAGCCCAATCACGTGACCACAGACAGGCCCCGCCCCTCACAACAGGGGGCAGAGCCAAACACAGAAGCGCAATCGAGGGGCAGGGCCGACCACTAGTAAGTAGAGCGTAGAGCGTTCATAGAGCGTTGAACGCGCAACAAAACGTAAAGGTGTGAACAGGGACTAAAACCTCTGTTTTTAACACATACTGTTGACAGGGTCATTTGTTTTGTTGCTGGCAGGTGAGCTGGGCATTTTTTGTGTTTTGTATTGTTGTAAGCCTTCCCATGTGCGCCCTGCCATAAAGGCTGGTTATAGATTCATGCAGGTACCATGTTTTTCTAGTTTGACTATTTTGGATGTGGGGACGCACTGGGGGTCCTAGCGTGCATTTTTGGTTGCTGGGCCTCCAGTGCGCCCCTGCACCTTATAAGGAGGAGTAGGCTACCTCCTGGTACACCTGCATGCAGTTTATCGACTGCATTAATATGCTCACACTGATGGTTTTCCGGCGGAATGGTACAGATACCATTTGCCTCAGTTAGCCCGCCCCTTTGCAGAGCTTGTATAATTCTTGCCTTCTACAGGGGAGGGTACCGGATTCCTTGTATGAGGCTAACGTTCTCTTACCTAAACCGGGGAAAGATCCAATGCTTTGCTCCTCATACCGCCATATTTCTCTATTGAACATGGATCTTAAAATATTGACCAAGATTCTTGCTATGCGCCTAGCGAGGGTTATTTCCACTATAAGAAATATTGATCAAACTGGATTTATCCCTGGAAAATCTACTGATACGAATCTGTGCAGGGTTTTCACCAATCTCCAGCTCTCCAATGATAATGCTGGTTCAAGGGCATTGGTCTTTCTTGATGTTGAGAAGGCCGTTGACTCGGTGGACTGGGGATACATGGGGGCAGTCTTGACACATATGGGATTTGGTCCTAACTTTTGTAGATGGATTGCTATCTTAAATAGTAAACATAGAGCCTGTCTGACAACAAGAGCCTTGCTCTTTCTAATAGATTCCTGGTGGAGAGGGGAACCCTTTAGGGTGCCCTTTATTGAGGGGGTCTTTTTGCATTAATGATGGAGCCCTTGGCTGTGGCCCTACGTGCCTCTAGCTCCTTGGAAGGGTTTAAAGTGGGCTCTATTGGAGGAGAGGCTTGGTCTATACGCTGATGATTTAATCCTGTTTTTGGCGGATGTGGGCCCTTCGCTTACGGAGGCACTATGAATTTTAGATAACTTTTCTGTGTTTTCTGGCATGTGAGTCATATTTTGCCGTTGAACGAGGGAACAATGAGCTCGGCGGAGTTAAGATTACGTCTAGAGTCACTGATTATTACTCACTGAACCTGAACCACTACTTGCCCAGGTTAAAAGGAAGTTTGATGGTGTGGAAACATTTACCTATCTCGTTGATAGGGAGAGTTCATTTAAAAATGAAGATTTTTCAGGTATTGTACTTTCTCCATAATTCTCCGGTCTGGGTGCCTGCGAGTTTCTTCAAGGGGGTGACTGGCTTGTTCCGGGACTTTGTGTGGGGCTTGCAGGTGCCTCAACTGGGAAATACTACATTGCAGGCTCCTTGGACCAGGGATGGGGGGGGGAGTGGGGTCTGGCACTGCCAGATATGAGGAAGTACTACTTGGCCGGACAAATGATTATAGTACACAGGGGAGGCTAGTGACTCTGCAGTGGTGTTGGAGGAAGCGAGCTTGGGATCTTATGAGGGGATGCGGGGCTCCTTACGACTTTACGCTATCCATACGGGCTACTTTGAGGGCATGGAGTGCTGTAACTTAGGTCATGTTTGTATTGTACTGCATATACTTGATGTTTTGTTAATTCTATAAAAAATATAATAAAAACAATAAAAACATTATATATATATATATATACACACACACACACATACTATTCTGTCTTTTAATCCAATTAATTCCTCCTCTTCCTTTTTGCGCTGTTCAAAGTGGACATCAATCAAAGTCTGAAGCTCCAAGAGATCTTTTTCCATGCGCTTCCTATGGATGTCCTGTTGGTAAAGAAATATAACATGATCATGTGAGATGCAGGTAAACTTTGGAAAATTTGTAATCTACCCTTCTACATAGAGTGAAATTGTCCACTCTTGATATGTGTTAACATTTTTGGCCATTAAATTTATTTTTAAACATTGGAGAGTAGATGTAATATAACGGTGCACTTGAAAAACTATCAAATGCTTTAATAATACATTGTGGGATTACTTAACAAGGTACGTGGCAATCTGCAATAAGGCAGATTAAGGGCCTAAATTAATATAAAATGTGACTTTTATATAGTCACTGACTTGGAACAAGTATGCAGTAAGTCAAACTGAAGTCAAAATGCCTAATTTGCATTCTTGTTTTAGGCCAGTGACTCACTGACAAAGGATTTAGCCAGGGAACTGGTCAGTTCAGAAGACGTTAGCAATGACAGTTTACATAATAATTGTATGACAGTTTAACCCATATAAACAATTAAGTAATTATATTATCTAACTAGTTAACTGAAATATGATCAGCTGTTTTGGGTGGCTGTACTTGGGTACTGCACACATTATCAACACTTATCTTACTGCTTTGCTAAAGGGCTTGTATGGCCTATATTGGGTTTCAAAAATGTGCTTACTGCAACAAATAGGAAAATATTTAGCTTCTGTGGATATTGCCTACTTATTTATCAAAACTAAAGTAGACATGACATTACTTGTCATCACTAAAGTTGTCATTACTAAAGTTAACATGACAAGTCATAAGATACATGGGATGCAAGTGTTAAAGTGCTAATTAGCACAGAACTAAATAACACTGTGACTGCTTTAAAAAGACAAATGGAGTATATAAAACATCTTTTATGTCCATTGTAATTACCATCCAAAAAAGTATGTACCCTTTTCTTTACAGATAAGTACTTGCATTAGAACATTTTCAAAAGTAACAGTGTCTCTTTAAATCTAAAATAAGAAACTCCTATAAAACAACACTTACATCAAAGTCAACTCGTTCTCCCTCTGGAATTTTTGGCGGGGCAAGTTGTGGCATCATTGGTCTGTAATTGAAATAAACAATAATCATACAATTGGGAATCATTTTTTTTACACTGTTTAGACTCAAAATATATTGAGCATACCTTCCAACTGTCCCTCATTTGGAGGGACTGTCCCTCTTTTGGAACCAAATATCTCTGTCCCTCTTTACTCCTCAGTTGTCCCTCTTTTTGTTCTGATGTAGAGATATCTATGAAAGCTACTTTTTAACTATCAAATGTTTTCTGCACTAAAATCTTTATCTCTTAATTATCTTGTCTGCTATTTTAAAAAAATGGTATAAAGGAAAAGTAATTGTAAAAATAAAAAATCTGGGTTTAACCAATCAATTTTGTCAAATAAATAATGAATGGACCTTTTAGAGGAAGGATATGTGGAAACATTGGAAGACAAAATTATTAAAAATGAGGGCTGTTATCACAGCCCATCATCTCCCTCTGCTAAAAAAAATTGCACATGAAGCGGTGTATTTACATAATAGAAAAACAATGAGGGATAATTTGACAAGTATTCAAATTACTGAAAGAACTACAAAACAATAAGGATTTAATTATAAAAATGGCTGGCAAGGGAGGAACGTTGATGTGATGAGTACAAAGCAGTATAAGGTTATGGCATACCGGATTTTAAACAACAATGAATGGTAAAAAACAATTAAAGACAATTTACTGGAGAATCAAAAGAAATAACTAGTTTAAATAATTGATTTGGCATTTGAGAGAAATTTGATTAGTAAGGACATTATGGTTTTTCTTAAGGTACCATTTCCAATAACACCAGTGTTCTATGGGATTCGCAACATAATTTAGACCTTCTTAGTTTCATTCCTATGAACAATACTTTTATGTTCAATGGGTCCCACTACATTCAGGTGCGGGGATCAGCAATGGGTACAAATTGTGCCCAATTGGTAACCTGTACCTGGGGGGGTGGGAATGGAAATTTTTTGGCCCTCGAGTATCTCTAAATGTACCTGTGCCATATTTTATCGTGGCACAGGTACACTGATGACATCCTCATTTTGTGGACAGGATCAGAATTTGAACTTCTTGACATCTTAAATCATAATAAGTGGAGTTTAAAATTTTCACATGTCCATGATAAGATTTCTATCCCATTCTTTGACATAAACCTAGCCTTCATAGAAAAAGTGTGACAATTCCATTTTAAAGGCATCAATTTGCCACCCAGAATATATCATCTGAAACATCCCTTTTGGAAGAAACTTGAGCATTAAAAGAAATTGTACAAAAACAGGAAAAGAAGTAAAATATCTGAGATCATTCTCATGACTAAAAGCTGAAGGGTATAATGATAAACATCTCACAAAGGCATATAAAAAAAAAGAATCCAACAAAAATCCAAGAAAACAGAAAAGAACACTAGCAGAAATGATGCGGTTAGTCTAATTACGATGTATTTTACCCAGCGTAGGGATTTGTTGCAAATTCATAAAAAACACTGGCATCTCCTAAGTGAGGATGAAACTCGCAAAATATGTCCCTAAGTGCCCAAGCATTAAATATAGAAAGACAAATCTGGCAGGTGTGCAGACAAAGCTTCATGAGCTGCTGGTCTAGCATTGCTAAAAACTATTGCTCTGTTGAAAGCTACTAAAAAGCTCTGTTGCTGTACCTGTTTGCAAGATTTGCTTTTGCATTATTTTGCTGAAGAAACCTGACTTTGTTGCTGTTCTGCTGAAAACAAGCGCATTTTATTTGTTGTATGCTGAAGAAAAGCTATTTTTGTTGATTGCAATGGTTGACAACCTTTGGAAAAATAAAATACTTTTTCTTGTTTAAGAAAAAAACACTTTGATCCCTGAACACCTACCATTCTGGCTAACATAAACATTACAGTAAAATATGGGGGTGGGGATAAAAATGGGGATAATAAACATAGAGCAAGTAACTACAGGGGCATTTATTATGGAGGGCAGTAATACAAGGGTGGAAAGCGGACTCACTCCAGTCAACCTAACTAGTAATGTAGAAACTGTACCAAGGTCAGATAAAGAAATTAGTTGGGATTCAGGAATGAGCAATAATAATACTCAAACCACTAGCACCAAACTGAAATGTATGTGCACGAATGCTAGAAGCCTAGCAAACAAAATAGAGGACCTTGAACTTATGCTACTCGAAGAGGACTTCGATATAGGGGGAATAACAGAAACTTGGCTAGACAGCTCACGACTGGGCAACTCATGTACAAGGGTACAACCTGTTCAGGAGGGACAGGGTTGGTAGAAAGGGGGAGGGGTATGCATGTATGTAAAAAACAATCTTACTGTGCACATACGAGATGACCTGTAACAAAGTAAAAACAGTGAAGCGCCACGGACTGTCAGTTCTTAATAGGACTTGCTTTTAGGCATACTGCAGGATGCTGCCCCAAAGAAGCTGTGAAAGCTGGAAATCTAGGAAATAAGCACAAGAGGGGCGCCTTTCCTGGTGCAGATCACTTTTTTTTCAATAAACATAAATAAAAAACCGAATCATACTCACAAACATGAGTGTCACAAAGTCATGAGGTGAGGACTGACAAGCAGTGAGATGTCCACTAGGTGATACCAGTATAGTGGTGACGTTAACGCCCCCTTCATCAGAAGATGTTCTGATGAAGGGGGCGTGCCCCGGAAACGCGTTAACGTCACCACTATACTGGTATCACCTAGTGGACATCTCACTGCTTGTCAGTCCTCACCTCATGACTTTGTGACACTCGTGTTTGTGAGTATGATTCGGTTTTTTATTTATGTTTATTGAAAAAAAAGTGATCTGCACCAGGAAAGGCGCCCCTCTTGTGCTTATTTCCTATACGAGATGACCTCACCACAGAGGTGTTGAGTCTTTGTGGCTAGAACTGGATAAGACTGAATCTAGTTGTAAACTAATTGTGGGTGCGTGTTATAAACCCCCAAAGAGAAATAGCTGGGAAGCAGAGAAATGTTGCTATAACCGGATAATCTGGTTAATTGTCTGGATATTGACTGGTTGATTTTGATAAAGGTTGGCCTATTCCTAAACCTGTTGCGGGACAATTTCATGGATCAGATGGTTGAGTTCCTGACCAGGAAGAATGCAATTCTGGATCTATTAATCACTAATAATGTGGCCCTAGTTGGAGACATAGCGATTACGGACAGATTCGGCAACAGTGATCACAGGGTGATTACTTTTAATGTGTAAAAGTTGAGGTGTGCTTTTCATGCTCTGATATGGCTGTCAGGTGGGCTATGCGGACCCTCAGATGACTGTGTTGGGTCTCAGGTTGGCTATGCGTTCTCTCATGTGGCTGTGTGCGGTATTAGGTTGGCTATGTGGGCTCTAAGGTGGCTGTGTCGAGGTGAGCAATGCATGCTCTTAGGTGGGCTATGCAGACTCTGTGGTGGGATTTGAACACTCTCAGGGATGCTATGCGGGCTCTCAGGGGGGCTATGCAGGCTCTCAGGTTGGCTATGAAAGCGCTCAGGTAGGCTATGCAGGCTTTCAGGTGGGCTATGCAAGCTCTCAGGAAGGCTATGCAGTCTCCCAGATAGCTTTGCGGGGTCTCAGGTGGGCAATTCATGCTTTTAGGTGGACTATGCAGACTCTCAGGTGGCTGTTTGGGGTTTCAGGTGGGCTATGTGGGCTCTCAGGTGGCTGCGTGGGTCCTCAGGTGGCTATTTGGGCTCTTGTGGTCTATGCGCTTTCTCAGGTGGGCCCTGTGGGTTCTCAGATGGCTGTGTGGGGTCTCAGGTGGGCTATGGTGACTCTCAGATTGCTGTGTGGTATCCCAGGTGGGCCATGCACTCTCTCTGGTGGGCTATACAGCCTCTATGGTGAGCTATGCTGGCTCTCAGAAGGCTGTGTGGGGTCTCAGGTGGGTTATGTGTACTCTCAAGTAGGCTATGCAGGCTCTCAGGTGGGCTATGCGGGCTCTCAGGTGGGCTATGCAGGCTCTCAGGTGGGCTATGCAAGCTCTCAGGTGGGCTATGCAGGCCCTCATATAGCTTTGCATGGACTCAGGTGAGCAATGCATGCTCTTAGGTGGGCTATGAACACTCTCAGGGATGCTATGTGGGGTCTCAGGTTGGCTATAAGGACTCACAGGTGGCTGTGTTGGCTCATAAACAGGCTGTGTGGGGCCTCAGGTGGCTGTGTGGGCTCTCAGAAATGAACACTCTCAGGGATGCTATGTGGGGTCTCAGGTTGGCTATAAGGACTCACAGGTGGCTGTGTTGGCTCATAAACAGGCTGTGTGGGGCCTCAGGTGGCTGTGTGGGCTCTCAGATGGCTGTGTGGGCTCTCAGATGGGCTGTGTGGGCTCTCAGATGGGCTGTGTGGGCTCTCAGATGGGCTGTGTGGGCTCTCAGATGGGCTGTGTGGGCTCTCAGATGGGCTGTGTGGGCTCTCAGATGGGCTGTGTGGGCTCTCAGATGGGCTGTGTGGGCTCTCAGATGGGCTGTGTGGGCTCTCAATGTGGCTGTGTGCGGTATTAGGTTGGCTATGTGGGCTCTAAGGTGGCTGTGTCGAGGTGAGCAATGCATGCTCTTAGGTGGGCTATGCAGACTCTGTGGTGGGATTTGAACACTCTCAGGGATGCTATGCGGGCTCTCAGGGGGGCTATGCAGGCTCTCAGGTTGGCTATGAAAGCGCTCAGGTAGGCTATGCAGGCTTTCAGGTGGGCTATGCAAGCTCTCAGGAAGGCTATGCAGTCTCCCAGATAGCTTTGCGGGGTCTCAGGTGGGCAATTCATGCTTTTAGGTGGACTATGCAGACTCTCAGGTGGCTGTTTGGGGTTTCAGGTGGGCTATGTGGGCTCTCAGGTGGCTGCGTGGGTCCTCAGGTGGCTATTTGGGCTCTTGTGGTCTATGCGCTTTCTCAGGTGGGCCCTGTGGGTTCTCAGATGGCTGTGTGGGGTCTCAGGTGGGCTATGGTGACTCTCAGATTGCTGTGTGGTATCCCAGGTGGGCCATGCACTCTCTCTGGTGGGCTATACAGCCTCTATGGTGAGCTAT